TCTCCAACCAGGTAAGAACTTGCCATTTCCAGTGTGCCACTGCCCTCCTCCAGCAGCTGTTCCTTCACTTCAGGGGCATGCAGTGAACAAACATTCCTCTGGCTGCACAGGTCCCTTAGAGATGCTGCACAGCAACTGCACCAGCCTCCTCACACACAGGGAAAGGAGAGGGGCAGAAGCAAAGAGTTCCCCTTTTAAAGTACTCGGGGAACTCGGATTATATAATAAGGCAAAATATTTTTATATCATCCTAGGACATTTTTTGTTTATACTGCTGAGAGCTATTCTATTTGTTTCAGCTTTGCCATAGATGCACAAATTCTGTGAAAGGAGAAAGAATGTCTAGTCTCTATTGTGGCTTTTAAAAAAATCAGAAAAGCAAGTAAAATGCATTTCTTAAGCAAACATTCCATTAAAAAAATCACTATATGTTTATAGAAAACAAAGATTTAATTTTAAAAAGTTAATAACTAGGTATTCCAGAAGGTTTGAGTCATTGACAGTAATAATTAGGGGATTTGTTCCATACAAAATGCTTTATTTAACCTTCATGCCTCCATTCAGATAATTGTACAAATGCATACATTTAAAGGTTTAAACTCTATTTCAATTCACAGCTCAATTCATAGGAAAGTTGAATACAGAAAAGCAATGCACCAACAAAATATGTCTGAGACACCATTTAAAACGATAACACTTGTTCATTTAAATCTTTGAGAATAGAGTGGAATAATCATCCTCTGACAGAATTTCATTAGGGGACTCCCTTTACATTATCATAGGGCAAAAATCACCTTTTTACAGTAAGAGGAAAAAAAGCTCTGAGTATATTTACAATACATACACTATACATAAATACAAGAACAACACTTACATAATATTAATAAACTTATAACATAGGCATTGCCTAAACACTACATAGTATATAAATGCAGAGGAAACTATTGGGAAATTAGATCTTCAGAAGTTTACTTTAAGTTTTGAAGAAAAGTAATTTTTGTATTTAAAAGCTTTTGAAAAGAAGGCAAAAGAAAGTCTAAAAAACTAATATGTTTGCCTGCTAGCACTTGTATTTTTATTCCTTTTAAATGTAGGAGCTCTATTGACACTACTATCTCTATGGGGTTACCAATAATGGCCCTCCCTTCTGCATCTTATCTAGGAAAAAGATTGAGGTGCTGTACATACTAATTCCATTGCTGTGAAGCTTCAGTCCCAAATGAATCGCTTGGTAAACTACGGGATGTTTTTGTATTTTTACACAGGAGGATCAAATGAACACTCATTGGTACATACAACAGTAATGACCCGATTAGAAGGAACAATTTGGGGCCAAATACAATCCCATCCTTAGGTTTTCATTCAAATAACACCATGGGGGAATTTGCTTTGTCCATAAGTAACTTGCCAATAATTTTATTTTTCAGTATTGTTGTTTTTTTCCTGAACACAGCTGAAAGAACTTTCTGATTTAATGGTATTTTTGACCCCACATGTTGATAGCAGTGTCCAAATTTCTCTTTCCCTTGATGTGTATGAATGCATGTGCCTGTGTATGGGTTGAAGGTCTTAAGGCTGATGGTGCATGAAACTTAAGCAATTCATTACTATCTCTGTGTATATTCCACAAATGTGCAAATGGGAAATACAACTTTGTAAGGACAGACAGAAGGTCAAGAGAGCATATTGTGTAGGTGTTCAGTGAAGAACTTACATTACCAAGGAAGCCATGTATAGGACAATCAGGAAAGAAACCATGCATTTTAAAGATGGAAATGAGCAGTGAAAAAGTCTGAAACCAGAAATGACAACAATTCTGAATCGTGAAAAATATTAGTTCAGCCATGAAGATTTGGCTCAAGTTGTCTTTCCAAAGCTCTTTTATATCTAGAAATGCAGGGAGAGGGAGAAAAGTGGTATCTGAACCTATTTGTGTATTTCATGGTCCATGCATATGACAATCCATCAAAGCCATTGCCTGTGGTCCCATATCAGACACTGAATAACTGTTTTTTAAATGCTGAGGTCACAGCACAGAGCAAGGTTTAACAATGCGTGAACCACCTCTTCTTTTGTAACTGAGAGCACCTTGGCTCACTGAAACTTTTGACTCTGAATTGGGAAAGATGTTGAAGGTCATTCATATGGACAATGGGATCTCAAGGAAATTTTTTTATTCTTATTTTTGTAATAGATGAAATTCATATGCCCAGTTTTGTTTCTCTGGAGGACTGAAAAACTCTCTATTGAATAATGTAAAAGTTACCACAAGGGTAATTATTTCATAATTCAAAGTCAGTGAGCATGAGCTGCTATAGAATAATGCTGGCAAAGCAAAAAAAACCCCAACAAAACCAAACCCAAATAAAACAAAAAACCCCAAAAAGTAAAACCAAAACAAGACAGACTAAAAAAAGAAAAAAAAAAAGGAAAAAAAAATAAGAACCCTTACTCAGAGTTTGCTTTTCAGAATGAAGGGGGAAAAAAACTGTCTCATTTTGGGATGGTGAAGACAAGGTGCCCTTTCCTACTGAAGAACTAACACATGCAGGGCTGGAATCGGCCAAACCTTCCAACGTGGCAACTTTCTAAAGGTGCCCCCTCTTAGTGTTGTTGCTCCAGAACAAAGAACTGAACACTCTTCTCCAAGAAGGGCTCAGGTACTGGGTAAGAAACTAGATTCCTTTGTCCTTCTGACAACACAGTCCCTGATGTTCTCCTGAAATCCCCAGCATGAGTTGCATTCTTCTATGTGCTTAATACCTGGAACTAAGCTCGGGACAACAGAATAAGTATATGTATATTCTGATGGGATTATTTTCACCAGCGGTTAACATTTAAATTTGTTACTGAATGAGCAACCTTGTCAAGTAATTAACTCATGTGCATGAATATCTAATTGTTACATGTGTGTCCACATGCACTCTTTTTTTTTGGGAGGGGGTTGTTTTTGCACCTGCACTTTCATCTGTGTACAAGACTCCAGCGACAACCCACTGATGGCAGCAGAAGTCTAGACGAAATGCAGAATTTTTGAAATACCGCATTTTGTCTAGATAAATGACAGGTAAAAATTCAGAAGATGAAAAGCAATCTTCCTTGGCAGAGGCATCAGGACAACCAATTACATTTTGATTTCCAATAAATTAATTTTTAAAAATAGAAGAAGCATGAGGGCTGGCATTACACTGCTATTTTAAGAATCCATTAGCAGTAGTTAATATTTACAAAAAAACTGAGAAAAAACAAGAGTGCACGAGTCACAGCTGGCCATTTTCTGGTAAGATCAATTAGTCTACTGATGCAAATGTTTAGGCCGCTCAATATAAAAATCTCCACACTTCATTTTAGGAATACTGACTTCTTGTTTTCTATTCAAATAATCTCTAGACTGAGAGTCCCCAATTTTTCACTCATTTGTCCCCAAAAGAAAGAGAAGTGATATATTTTGTCCACTCATGAAGTCAACCAAGATGGTAGTAAATACTATGAGCATTACATGATGAAGAGAAAGGAGACATAAGGTGAACTCTTGTGTTTCCAGAGTTCAATGCAGAGGATTTCTCAAGAGAATCCCTGTTCTACTATATTCCCTAAAAAAAGCTCCATTGGGCTTATTGCTGGTTTTGGATTACTTCACTAGAGAATACCCTGGATATACAGGCATATCCAACATAAATTGGGAAGAAATTCCCTAAAACACTGCTTTGACAATGACCTCCAATCACACCTACTGAGAATCGGTACAGCTACAAGTCATTTGTAAACTAAGATTTATTTTCTTCTTACAAATATATGACAGATGTTATCTGATAAAATAACTAAAACCTCTAACACAGTATCTCAACATGTGAACATACAAATGGCACTTTGTGTTTGTTTCTGTGCTGCATTATTGTTCTCCAAGTAAAATTTCATTTTCACCTTATTGTTAACAGAATCCCATTAAGTTATTGCTGTGTAAAAGTATAGGAACATCCCATCAGTTCTAGTTACAGGCACTTTCAGTTTCTGTTTCACCTTTAAAATAGATTTCAGGCTATCTCACTGAAGTGTATGTGTACTTTAAATGTCAGAACTGTCCTATTACAATGGATATTCTTGACATGTTACTGCACCTAGAAGACTAAACTCCCCTGGAATCAGCAAAAAGCAGCTGCCTATTTCAGCTCTGCAACCTTTAATCAGGATGCACTGTAGTTGGGGAAATACAAGAAGAAATAAAATCATATGAGTGTTTGCCATTCCTGTATCTGCAGTTCATTGTAAAATGTCAGAAGGAAAAAAGAAATCACAAACCGCCAAATCTTTCATATGGTTTTCATTTTGTTTAAGTGTTTTCTTCCTTTATTCAGTCAAAGACATAGAGCATTGACTTATTTGACACTGAAGGACTCAGTATAACTTTGCTATATCACACACCATCTGCAAAACAGCAAAGAAGTGGCCACTCCATTTTGCAGAGAAAACACACTCTGATAAAACAGAACAATTTACTTCTTGTGTTTTGTGTTTAAGCTTTGCAAGGCATTATCCTAACAGTCTTCCCAATGAAAATTGAAGGTAAGGATTGCTTAAAAATATATTTCATTTAAGCTACTTAACACCCCACATAAAACTATCAGTTGGAAAATACTTCTCCATTATCATGAATATTACAGAATATTTTAACCGTTACAAGTATAGTAAAATTCTTTCAAGTTACTTTGATTTGTAAAGATGCAGTATCCTTACAGTTACATTTTTATGCCAAAACTTGATTTATTGTGGAGAATTTAAGCCTTTTCAGTGTTCCAGTGGGCATGACTTCATAAGCATGCATTACACAGCAACTGCTACGCTACAGCAAAACTGTGAAAATACAACAATTTCTTTGTGCAATTCTCCAGTCATGTATCACAGGCAAAGGCATAACACAATAACATGAGCTGGTTTCTTAAGGTAGTATTTTCCATAACAGTGTTTACTTTAAATTCTTATTTTCCTGGGGGTTTTTTTGAGTTTTTTTCCCCTAAATTTTAAGTAAACTTGTTTATTACCTGCACATGGGTAGAGACACTTGGAAATGCTGGGGTTCACATGCATGAGTGTAAGGATGAGCCTGTGGGAATAGCATGGATTTACTGAACGATCTTAAGACTTGACTGCTGTGGAAGATGTAGTTTCATACAGTGACCTTTCCAAACCCAAATTCAAACTAAAAAGTAAGTGAGATATTATTAGTCACACTTACTCTGATTTTGAGATACCCACCTTCAATAAAGGAGAAAGAGATTTTTTTACATTAAACAGCATTTATTATCAGAAGATAAATTTATAAATGGCAACTAGATACATTTTCAATGTGGCTAATGGAAAATGAGACTTATGATCACTGTTATTCTCATTATTAAAGGGGAGAAAGGCTGTCCAGCTATTTGTCCATGCTCTGCACTGCAAGTTTACCAAATGTCAACATCACTGACGTAATTTTCAACACTGTTAATTTTGTTATACATTACTCCAGCAAATAATTATATATACAAGTCAGTCTAAAACTATTTAATTAATTATGTAAGCATGAGAGAGAATAAGGAATACTGCATCTTCATCCCCAAGTAAAAACTGCTGTTGCAATGAGCCAATTTTACAGTGCTGAATATAAGGGGCACTCAAAAAATAGTGACACAATTAAAATTTTTAAAAGTTCTGTATCAAAGCTTTTTCCTAATTATATTTTCCTAAAAAGTTGGCTTCTGAGGTTTCCTGACAAATCCGTTTAGAACTTTTGAAAGTACATGAAATCTGACAATTCACGACATAATTTCCCTTGCAAGCCGTAAGGTGCAATATCATGACATGGTGGACTGAAATCTCTGTCTGGGACACTGTATATTTGTATATTTGTGTATCCTCACTGTTCAACTAAGATGGACCTACTGGATTGTGTCAGGAAGAGATCTGGTATTTCTGCATGCTACACATGATGTAAGCCTTTGCCACAGCCATGAAATGTCAGAGACCTGTGGCGGGGTACCAGGATTTTTGAGGAAGCTACCCTGGAGCAATTGCCCATGGTCTTTGTATGAGCACAGCAACTTGGCAGGTCTGAACCACAGCCAATAAAGGCAAAGACACACTGAGTATCTGGGGGACACCAGCTCCACATTCAAACACCCCCATCCTACCAAATAACTTCTCTTAAAATACTTCTGAAGGGGACAAAAACCAGAAAACAACCCCACAGAGTAACTGGGATCAAAGCCTGCAGGTGCTGGTATGAATGAGAACCTCATCAAGAACCATACTGTGTACTTGAAACCCAGTGGTGGACTACTGCTGGTTGTGCAAGTCACCTACAGGTGACAGCAGCATGAGAAGCCCTTGAGCATGTGCTGGAGGTTGAGGACGTCATTCCTACCTGTGAAATAACAAAATGTAGCACACGCTCCTTTACCTTTTGGCTTCATTCTCCTACCACTGCCACACTCTGTGCCTGTGACCCCTGGCATTAGTGCTGTTTTAACCCTCTATCACTTTGGGGTTCTTTCAATAAAACCAGACCCTCTTTCTGTTGCAGTGTTTCCAACGCATAAAATAACAGGCAACCAGCTGAAAAACCAGGGATTCACACAGACCAACCTCAGCCTTGGGAGATGAGCCTCTCCAGGGTCTGTCACACATATGCTTCTCCACAGGCATTTCAAAGCTGAATGCTAAAATTTAAGGCCTCTCCATTTCTCTTGTTGTTTTTCTGTCTTCATTGACTACAGGGGAAGCCTAAAGAGGAACACTCATCTCTCCCAGTTGCACCCTGCCTTTAAGAGTAACATCACATCCTCCTGTATGCCGACAGAATGCCCAGTAAGAGTTTCTGCTCAAGCAAACATGATTTTCTATGAGAAGAAAAAAAAAATCACAGATCCCCAAAGGAATTCTGTATGCTATTGGTTCTTCAACTGAATTACTGCTATTCAAATAATTAGTTGGCAAAATATGCTTGGGCAGGAAAAAATTTTATCAATGGAGTTCTACCTGACCTGACTTCTTTCCCCAAATGCTAACAATGACAGATGCATTTAAGGGGATGATATTCAAGTACACAAAAAACAGACCTCAGACATAATCCATGAAACACCTCACACACAATACTTTGACAACCAGTTTTTTAAATCCACAGTAGTAATGCTGCTGGTAAAGACACAGTTCTGCTGCCCTGCAATGCCTAAGAAGCCCTGCTCTGTCCCTGATTTGGAGATGGGTTCTAGAATGTCATCGAATTTGGTGGAAGTACATCACTGACATGGCCAATGGGAATGGATAGAGGCATTTTTCCCACAACAGCTGTGAATAATTTGTGTTGAGTTTCTCTGCTGGCCATTCAGCAGTGGGAAGCCTGACCTTTAACAGTAGTAAGTTCTTTCAGAGAGCTGATAAACTACCCATACTGGGGAATTTTAAGGATATTTAAAGACAATCAAACTCCAGGGTCTTGTGAATGCTATTATAAGGTATTATCCCAGTCATATTAATCCTCAATTAACTGTAATTGCTTTTGTATCTGTATGAGTCCTCTGTGTTGTTTTTTCTTAAAGATTACCTTGATTTCAGAATTCCCCCAACATTACTACATTTACTTCAGGAATCTGATATTAACTGAGATAGTCAAACATTTAAAAACAAACAAGTGGCATCACAAATTTAATCTGTGCAGTTCATGGAACAAAATATTCATAATTAAATGCATTGCAAAAGACCTTTATGTTTACATCTTTCATCTCTAAGCTATGAAAATCTCAACACTTGGAAAATATTGCCAAGCCTCCCCTTTGTCAAATTTAGCTGAATAGGCAGATCCTTGTGAGGAAAGAAAACAGAAAAACACTATTCTGTTTGCATGAATAACTGATGACTAAGAGTTTCTCTCTTTCCTACATAATTAAATTAATACAAATTGGTTTGCAATTATAGGGCTGTATGGGAATGATCAAGAATTTTCTTTTATTTAATCTGAAAAGGCTTGGATTGAAAATCCCAGCAGAGGCAGCCACTGGTACCCATACAGAGGGCCATTTATATCCTACTAGACAGCTGGCAAAATCTTGTTATTCCCTAACTCCCAGGGAGAAATATAATGTCTTGCAGAGCACCACTGCAGAAATAATTCTCTGGCCTACTTACAGTTCATCTACTACCTCCTCAACAATCAACTCTTTCCTTTATCTATCCTGCTTTTCAGACACAAGTATGATGTTAAAGGAAAAAGAAGTACTTAATTGTGGCACCTAGCAGGTCAGTGAAACCAGCAAAAAGATAAACTTAAATGCTTAAATTTTTTATGCTGTTTCTGCATACCCCTCACTTCTGTTGGTGCGGAGTAAATTATTGTCTCAAGAGCCATTTTATTCATTATTGCTTTTTTCTCTGCAAGAGATGCAGCCGTTTCTTCTCTGTTTTGTTTTGATGATACATTCAATTCCATTTCATGAATGGCTATACCACTAACCTTGGTACCAGCAAGTACAAGATCTGACTACTTCCTTGGGTTCAAATAATGGCTGTGGGGAAGAGGATACCTGCATGAAAGAAAACGGCACATTGAGAATAGGGTAGTAGTTTTTAGGTGGGCTCTTTCTACACAAATCAGAAAATGGATCTAAATAAGTCCATGGTAAAATACAGATACTTAATATGATATTTCAGCAGAGATGCTGCTGCCCTTTGCTTATTTTACAGACTTCAACAACAACAATAATGAAAGAAAAGAAGGGGGAAAAAAAAGATAAAAGAAAAAGGTTAAATGGCTGGTGTCCTCTAGGGCATAATGACAAATTGTGGTATGATATTAAAAATGCCACCATCATTATTGCAAAAGTCTGATCAAGCAACCCTCCAGCTCCAGCAGTGGGACCTCTCCAGCAGAATCTTCTTGCCTACTCACACGCAGCTTGTCTGTAGCACAGCTCCGGTGCAGTGTGGACACCGGCCAGATGGTACTGGAAACAAGGGGAAAAGATGGCATAATACAGATATAGCGGTCTTGCTCTCATCATCATCATCATTGTCATCATCATCATCATCATCATCATCATCATCATCATCATCAGTTTGTGATATCTATCCTCCAATCAGCAGTGATTTTTTTCAGGAACAAAATGTCTGGCAGCTGAGAAAACATACAAGCTATAAACATTTTTTGTCAAAGGATGCAGCATGTAAAATAATGCCCATTCCTGTAGCATCTCGGCTGCTATTTCCCAGGTGATTGTGATGACACTTTCAGGGGGTAGCCATGCTGAGGGGCAGACAGGGTTAACTTCAGATGGCGAGGAGAAGAGTGGCACTTCTTTTCCTGCTTTTTTAAAATTTCTGCTATTATTTCTTGTTACAGACATCAGGGAAAGCCCTGCCTGTTAACACTGTAGAGGGGGATTCAGCCCTGCTGAATTCACTGTGGGTAGTTAAGAGACCCAGCTCTTAAACTCGGCTGGAACAGGTAGCGTTTCTCAAACCAGCATGTGCCTGCGGCGGTGGAGCGCCAAGTGATCCGAGCGGGAGAAGCTGCGGTCACAGTCTGCACACTTGAATGGCTTCACTCCCGTGTGCTTGCGGTAATGCCTCGTCAGTTCATCGGATCGAGCAAACTTCCAGGTGCAGCCTTCCCAGGTACATTTGTAGGGTTTTTCTCCTGGGAGAAACAAAAGAAAGAGGGGAAGGGGGAAAAACAGGTTGTGACTTTCCCCTTGTTGCTATTAATCCCCACAATCCCCTCTGCATGCTTCCCGTGAACACGCACTGCTTAGGAGTTGCTTTAGGCCAAATTACACAATTATGAGGTACTAGGATCTGCTGAATATAAGGAAAAGAGCCTTGAGATTTATCATCCCTGTGGCATTCACATGACTAAGAAAATCAACAGGATTAAGGCAATAATATAGATCCTACCTTGCAGGGGTAATGCGAGGATTAACACCAGGACACAGGGCTGTGTAATTATTCTCATGATTACCATACAGGTTTGCAACCCCTATCTGGTCAGGCTATACTTTCTCCTCATATGACCAGATTACCTGATATTTCTGCAATTTACCATGGGCTGACACAGACTTCTCATTATTCTACTATGTTTATGAAGGTTTCTGATTATTTGTGTAAACAGCACTCCAAGACGTTTCTTAGTAGGCTGGTAAAAATCAACTACAATTTCCCAATGAAACATAAAAATTATATCTGCAAAACCTCCTCTTTACTTACTGCACTTACGTTCAGTAAAATTAATTTTGCATAAGATGGTACTAGGAATGGTGTACAATTTTTAAATGTACTTAGCCATGAGACTTGCACAACACTGTTCATAAATACCCATTTACTTTAGTGAGCTCGGACTTGAGCTAATGCAGATTTTTGGAAAATCTAACCATCTTGCTTTATATTTAAGGGTAAGAATGATGTTGTATCATGTCAGAGGAGAAGATTAATACAGCCAAACTGGATTTTGTGCTTGCATAAAGCAATCTATTTAAAATACCACTTTTGCCATGTTTTTAGGCTAGACTTCTTTGTGACTTCTATCACTCACCTTCAGTGTCTATAGAAATGCTCTTGGCAGTTACCTTGATCCCACAGTTCAGCATAAACCAAAACTGAGGAAAGGAAACAGTGTGAGGTCCGTATTTATCTTTCTTTTGTTGCATCTAAAATTTTACTTCCTCTTCTGAAACCAGCTAATCAAAACGTGGACAACAAAAGAGCATCTCTGCAACAACTGTTTCCTTTGTTAGGCACAATCATTCTTCAGTTATTTATTATCTCTCATGAATCATGAGCAGCTTGCAAGAAACTATTTCAATTATATGAACCACTGATGTAACACTTGCTTTCTCTCATGGGCAGAACCTCCCTCCTTGCGTCTCTTCAAAAGTCAATAAATGCTTTGCGGAGAGCCCTTGGTTTCAAAAGAAAATCCTCAAGTAAGAGTATCATCACAAAGTTACAACAACTCTGAAAAATCCAGCTGAAATGGCCTCTGTAAGGAAACTCAGTGCTGTACAGACATCAGCACGACATGTCAGTGAGGTTGTCAGCAACATTTGAGCTCCCTGGGTTGGTACCTTCTGTGCACCATCTGGGCTGTGCTGCAGTTTTGATGTCAGACGTGGGTGGGAAACAGTTGCTGTGAGGAGAACCCAGCAATCAGGGCTCTGACCACAACCTGTAGTTGCACCAGCAACAACTCACCCTAGATAATTTTGTACTCCCCAACCAAGCACAGAGCACCCAATAATGCTCATTGTCACCGGGTGACCACAGTGTTGGGTATCTCAAATCCAGCAGTTGCTGGACAGGCAGGCAGAAGCTACATGGCAGATGGTGGAATGCACACTCTTGCCAATGACACAGTGCTACGAAATGTGCTCAAATTCACCACCAAACTGTCTTACATAGATATTCTTGCCACAAGCAGTTGGTGCAGAGCACTGTACAAATATAGCAGTACCCCTATCCAAACTCGGCAGGTTGATTCCAATGCACTCATCACACCAGATCAACATTTTCCAAGTGCAGCCCTTGTCCTTGTCCATCTCTCAACACACTTTTAAACTCTTTTGCTCACCAGATACTACCTTGGTTTGCTTCTTTGGCCACAGACACTTTCAGACAACAGATATTTCTTAGGCTCTGGATTCTTTCTTAAAAGCATCTGAAATTTTAAACATCTTCAGGAATGGAGACTCAACTACTTCACTGGACAACCAGGATGAGGAATTTTTTCCTAATATCCAGTCTAAACCTACCTTAGTGCAACCTTGGTGTAACTGGAGGCCATTTCCTTTCGTCCTATCGCTTATTATCGGGGAGAAGAGACTGACCTCCACTTTTCAACAACTTCCTTTCAGGTTATTTGTAGAAAGCAAAGAGGTTCCCCCTGGCCCTCTTTTCCTCCAGGCTGAGGAACCTCACTTCTCTCAGCCATTCCTCATAAGACTTTTGCTCCAGACCCTCCAACAGCTCCACTGCCCTTCTCTGGACACACTCCAGCAGCTCAATGCCCTTCTTGTAGTGAGAAGGACAAAATTCAACACAGGATTCAAGGTGTGGGCTCATCAGTGCCAAGTGCAAGGGGACAATCATTGCCCTGGTCCTACTGGCCATACTATTTTTGATACAGGCCAGAGGCCATTGGCTTTCTCAGCCACCTGGGCACTCTGCTGGCTCATGTTCAGTTGCTGTTGACCAGCACCCCCAGGTCCTTTTCTGCTGGGCAACTTTCCAGCCTCTCTTCCCCCAGCCTGTGGTGCTGCATGGGGTTTGTTGTGACACAAATGCAGGATCCAGAACTTGGCCTTGTTGGCTCTTAAACAACTGGCCTTGGCCCATAAATCCAGCCTGTCCAGACCCCTCTGCAGAGCCTTCCTACCCTCCAGTAGATCAACACTCCCCAATTTGGCATCATCTGCAAACTTACTAAGGGTGCACTCAATCCCCTTGTCCAGATCAGTAATAATGATATTAAAGATATCCAAGAAATCCTTCCCCTTGGTGCACAGAATTCTAGATCTTCCTTCCCTCAACAGAAAACAGGGTACCCAGCAGAAAGGGATACTTTACATGAGAAGTACCAGAAACAGTTTTTTTAGTTCATCCATTAAAACAGTATCATTTCAGGTAAGAAACGAAATCAGCTGTGGGAAGGATGTGAGTACAGATCACTCAGCTGGAGTTCCCACGTGTTGCTTCCAGCGTCCCTCCTCAGTGAGTCTTGCCTACCCAGCCCTCACGGAGCTATGTGAATAGACAGGACTGGCAACATTCCTTGCAAGGTATTCACTCCACTGAAGGAGAATCAGTCTTACAAGCTCAACCTAAGAGTACCTCTTGTTGTTTTCAATTAAATATATACGTTCAGTGAAAGAAAGAAAAAACCAGCAGCATTAATATGAAGATATTCACTCACATGCATCTTAAAAAGGCCACTGTAAAGACAACTGTAAAAAGTATCACTATGGTTAATCAACATTTTATGCAAGTCTAATTTTTAGGGAAAGAATAGTACTACTACTTTTCTCTTAAACAGCTATATTACCTGTGCATGCTCGAGGGCTAGAAAAAAAATTTCCTTCATATACTCTTAAACTTATGTTTGGTGTCATCCCAGACATGAAGACTAACCACTGAGTTTGTCAAAACCAGAAGACCCAGGAGTTCAAATGATGGAGAAAGGACCAGCAGGAGCAGAATTGCTACAAGCTGAGCAGCTGGTGTCAGCTATCCCACACCAGCTTTGTCTGACGAGAGCGTGAGCGCTCCTGGTAGAAATCCTCAGTGCGACTAACAGGGATGAGCTGGGCCTAAGCAGGGCAACCCAGAGAGCAGTGCATGAGGAGGTGGACAAAACTGGAAGAACTTAACCACGGTGCATACGTATTTCTGTCTATCTATCTATCTATCTATCTATCTATCTATCTATCTGCATTTCAAGACTGGATTGCAGTGGAGTCGAAGTCAGACACTCAGCCATTCTGACTCAGACACTTCTGTCTCTTCTGTGCGAGCACTTGACTTTAAGTGTTTAAGAAACTCTTGGGCTTAAAGTACGGGCACGTTTTGACTCCTCATGCACTCAGACACTCAAATTCTCCTTCAGCTTTCAGGAGCAAATGCAGGCTGTGTGAGTTTTGCCTGGGGTGGTGGAAACACAGGAATGAAGAAGTCAAAACAGTAGACAGTTTTGGGAAACTGGAAGCAAGAAGAGCTGCAGAAAGAGACTAAAAACATGTGGCAATTAGGAGGAGGAGAAAAGGAAAACCAGAAGAAGATAAAATCCTGTGAGTTCAATATTCTGAATTTGTGAAGTTTTAAAGAGCCTATCAATTTAAAAATAGGTGCCTGAAGCAGTGGACATTTGCTGACCCTCTATTTTTGCAAGTGCCTTTGAGAGCTCTATTGTTTAGTCCTGAAACCTGGTAAAAATATCCCAAAATAGAAAAAATCCGATACTGTTCTGCAGCTTTGCCCTGCAATACATGGATAGTGGACCGCACACCATAACAGCCATTTACATGGATCAAGCAGGACCCTGGAGCATGAAAAAGTATTTCTAGACAGTTCTCTGTAGAAAATGAGTATTTTCTATTATTTGGGGGAGTTAATTACAAAGTTTTGAAGGGATGAGTCAACACTCCAAATTGGAATAGTAATTTTTCAGTCTTCTATTAACACATCTATTTCTGAAGTCCTCCAAAACCATGCCTTTTGTACTTCAGATGCAACAAACCAAATTAGTTTAATTACCATTACCATATTATTTTTCCTAACCTACCATGACTCCTCTTACTTAGGCACTTAAAAACATGGTTACAATTGCTGCTCATTAAATCCTCGAAAACTCTTCAAATATTGAATTAATAATGCTGAATAATGACTACTGTTCAGCCATTTAAAAAATTTTCACCCTTCACACAGCCCAACATCTGTCTTCCCATATCTTTATTCATGTACCCTGACATCTGGAAGACCATTCACCCAGGGAAATAAATCTCTTGAACTTTTACTTTATAACTCGATGACATTCACATATTCCTTATTAGAAAATCTCTGTGTAGGTACAAGCCCAAGATATGCCACATAACAGATGAAGGGAGCAGGGTCTGTTCTGTGCCATGCAGAACTTCCCACGTGGGATGTTTTTCAGCAGTTATCCTCTGCCCATCAACTAGCTGGTATCAACAGTATTTGATGCCAGACCAGATGTTTCAAAGACAGACACCACAAAACCACCACATAAATAGTTATGGGTTATTCTGCCAGCAGGGAAACTGTTCTGGAACTCCAGGAAACAGATCTGGGCTTATATTCATTCCTTAAGTGAGGAACCTTATTTACTGCAACTGCAGATGCTCCATGTACTCCCTGTGCACTTGCAGCTCCTTTCATTTATGTATTATTTAACTTCCATTTATCCAGCAGTTTAGCAGGCTCTTGGCAACCATGAGGTAACACTGTCTACTACCAGGACAGAAAACACCCCAGAGCTCAAGCTGTAAACATTTCTCTTCCTCTGGCATCAACTCCCCTCTCTTTCTGATATTACAGAAAAGTGCCATGTTCCTTCTTATTACATCCTCTTCACACATCCCTATCTATCCATTTTTTTCTGCACATGGAATTGTCACCATGGCTCTTGAATTATTATGTCACTTCTTTGCAGCTCCTTCCCGCAGTGGCACACAGCATTTTGAAACGTTGCTAACACTTTTATTCCAAATAAGAGACAATGAGGAAATAAACATAGGGGACTGTTCAGGGGTAAAGGTTTAGCAATCTAGTCAGATTTTTTCTATGCTTAAAGCTTTCATCACTCTATGAAAGACAAAGTTAGAAAGTACATGGAAACAAAACCTGATGTATATAGGTTTGTGTAGTAATTCCAGACAGGGAGGATGGGGGCATAGAGGACGTGACACCGCTTACTCCATTCATGAAATACAATGGGTTTCAGGGAAATTTGCATTTTAATAGGTGGAACATGCCCAATTCTGCTACATACATCTTTATGCCCCAAGTTTCTACTGTCATTATTTTGGAGAAGTATTTCCCCAAAAAAACCCAGAGTGAGGTCATAGGATTAAGCCCGAAACAAATTGGAAGAAAATAAATAAGCCAGCGAGCATGTCTCTGCCTATGTTTGATATGCTACATTTTCTAGTCAAAGTGAACAGATCTGCAGTTTTGCAGGGTTGAGGACATCTCCTGGTAATTCCTGGTTTGTTTTCTGCTACAGGATGTTATGCAATATATGTAATGTGTAGTATTTATGTCAGCTGTTTTCAGCTCCCATGAAAACACCAGAATTGTTCTGAAGCATACGCGACATTCCTACTGCACCCTTATTGACAGGGCTCTAGGAGAAGAAATCATACACTGAAAACCACAAATGGCTAATTAGATTTTGCATTTCTACTAAAAATAAGAAATTTCAGACAGAAAAGAATCTTTTAACAGCAAAAACACTATCTGATAATGAACATCCTCAGGCACTCCCAGAGGAAGAGGGGAGCTTAGCTTTCAGACATGGGGGAAAGGGAAAAATGACAATTCTTACATTTTGTGTGATATTTTTATTAGTATAATTTTTTAATGAAAAAAATAGAGCACTTATCAAGCACTTTACAACTTTGAAGTACATTATAATGCTTTTTTGAAAATGTAATCTCTCATAAAAGTCTCTCTTCATAGTAGTACTGTGTAACAAATATCAAGTCTATTCTGCAGGTAAGAAAACCAAAACAGTGAGCATTAGCCTTCCCAAAACTGCCAAGAGTGAACAGCAAAGCTATGACTTACACATTAGGAACACCTTACTTTCTGTAATGGAAGAGCTAGATCTTAGCTTAAACTCTTTAAAACTTTGAAATCTTTTCAATCATTTTGATGCAAAAATCTAATCCAATTATTCACTTAATGCATTACTAATTCACTCTCTCTCTCTTTGATGAACGTATGCAATTTGACTTTTATGTTTCAGTATTGTCAAAATATGCAAATAAAAAATAAAATATCTTTCCGGGAAGAGATTAGTTTCGTATCAGTTAAGCAAGTCTGGCAAAACAATTTCTACTAGCAGAACAGGAACATACTGTGCTGCCTGGGACACGTCTTGAAGTTCAGGTTTTTATTTCTTGTTCTCGGGCTGACTTAGGCAAAGCACAGGGACATGGTTTCTTCATGTGGAAACCAGGAACAAAACAATTTCTTCAGTTCAAATATACAGTGACAACCTTCATTCTAGAAGAAGAGACAGAACTTCATTACACTCTGGCAGCCCTTGAACTCATTATTTACAAACTCCACTTGTGATAATTCAGGTGGGAGTCCTTTTCTCACATCAAAACACACAAACACGTTTTCATTTCACTGCACTGATGAGCTTTGGTCCTGTTTGCCATGCTGGCCCTTCTTCTCACTCCCTCTGCAAGACCAGTACTACTTCAGCAACTCTACTACTTTCCTTCTACTACTGTTGTCCCACATGCCACTCTAGGTATAGAGCTGCCCCAGTCTGATACTATTTAAATTCAAATCCCAGCAAAAAAGCCTTTGGGACTAAAATCACAAAATTCAATTAGCTGTAATTTAAGAAGGCAAACCCATTATATCAGTCTCTGGTCTGTTCTGTAACCACATGCACAGAAAAGAAAGAAAGATGGGGAATCCAAGCAATTTCCACATTTTCTCTTTTTGGGGCTTCTGCAGAGACTTTGCTCCAGAACAGAATGGGCTCTACCAAGTACTATGTGATATATGACTGAATTAATGCTCAGGGACAAGGATTAGTTAAGTACATTGCCACAGGCGCTGCTGATGCAGTATGAAAAATTTTAACTCCTGTAAAAAAAGCGAATGTGAAACATTTGGAAACGTACAAGGCATCTCCTCCTGTGCACCTGAATCCAGGAGCCAGACCAAATCCCAACAGTTCATGAAAAATATAGTTTTATTCATCCTCCTGAAATTTGTTTCCTGTATGACATGGTGTGTATATGTAAGTTTTTAAGTATATGTCAAGTGCATATATATGTATATACACACACACACACTTAACATATAGATATATCTGTAGTGGAAGATGACATGAAGTTTTCTTCACAACTGCCAGTGCAAATATATGGGGCTACTGAATTTCCAGTGCTGTGGGAAAAGACTGAGGTTTTCCTTCTTATAGCAGCCTTCACTCACTATAGTATTTGGGAAAGGTAATGCAAGAGATCCATATTTCCATCAGTAGCCAAGTGTATGGAGGGTGCCAGCAGACCTGCACATTTACTCTCCTCAGCTGGGGTGCTTCAGGCTTGGGCTTCAGTCTGGCCTTCCCCAAATAAAACAACTTTCCTTCACTGTGGTCTACAACTGCAAGGGAAACACCAAACAAGTCACACTTCCCTACCCTTCTGCCTTCAGTGCTGCTACTGTCACTCCTCCTGGCACTGCTCCATTGTGTTCATCAAGAGAAATACTCATATTTCTCAGTATTTATTAAAAAAACCCAAAAAAACCAAAAACCCCCCCCCAAACCAACAACAAAAACCTGCCAAAGAAATAATTAGAAAGAAGAAGAAGAAGAAGAAATAATTAAAAACCCAACAAACAAAAAACGTCCAAAAGGCTCCAAGGGATGAGCTTTGTCAGTTTACAGTTAAACAGTTTTGCACAACTGATTATGTGGTGTTTGCACTGTGCTAGAAGTCAGGCTCAAGCAGAGGATGGGCACTGGTGTGCTGAGCTGTGTATAGAAACAGAGCATTAAAAAACTCACTTCCAATTTAAGTGAGCTGGAAATGGAATTAAACTTTCCAAAAGAAGATATACCAATTTTTATAACAATAAAAATCAGATTAAATATATATAATACTAAAGAAAAATATTAACGGACAAAAATATGCATGGCAAGGGACAAGGGGAAAGCTCATTAATGTGATCAAAATACCACTATTTCATATCCTATGTGAAGAAAACACTGAAGTGCAGAAAATAACTCCTCATCCTACACAGGTTTCATCAGATCTTTTTACTTTCCCATGAAACAAGAACTTTTTGTAGAATTTACCCACATTTCTAACTGCTTATTTTCAAAAAAGTTAAGAGTGAAAACACTAATTTTCAGGATTTACCTCTTGTATGCTTTTATGTGCAAAAAATAAAAGAAAGCAGGAAAGAAGAAAACCTGAATAAGACATTTCAAAACAAGCTTTTATGACTCTTACTTGCAGTTTTGAGCATGCTGCACTCTCCAAGACTGTTTCCGATCGAAGGTTGCCCTGACAAGGACAGGATGGGCACGAGCAACTTCAGACACACTTCCCAAAAGACATGGAGTACCATCAGCAACAAATCATTGTTCCCTCTGCTGGGGACTGAGTGGGCTGCAAGAGTTGGAAACCCTGTACTGTGTATTTATTCCTCCAGGTCTGGGTGCAACATCTGGGAAAGTGTTTTGGAAGCAGTGGGAGTAAAGACATCTTTCTTGCCTTCATGGCACTTCAGGGCTACACATGGTAGACCACAATCATGCCAGAGACCTTAGATGAACTGCAGTTCTTTGGAGGTAGAGCATTAAGTACTAAATGGTTGGCTTAGAGAAAATCTTATTCTGCATAATGAAATTATCATTATTCCCTCGTGCCACACACAGACAAAACACATATGCACCCCATATTTACAAAGTCAAGGGGCACTGTTGAAAATATTTTTCATAACCTTGAGACTGAAAGTAATCACAGATGCAATTAGACTTGCTTTCCCATCAAAGTGCCTGGAATAACCACACGGGCACTCTTCCATATCGGCACAGCATCAGACCTACAATGCAGAGGAATGACTCCCTGTGTGTAAGGTGAATTCAGAGCTTGCAATATGTGCCAAAAATGAAATCATGTAACTTTCCACAGAGCAGCTATTGGAAGAGAACTGGATGTACAAGCTCTTTCTGGTACGGACACCTGCCTGTAACTAGCTGGACTCAGACAACTATCTCACTACACCCAGAGGTTCCCACTTCTGCATCACCTTCCTAGGCTGTGGTGGCTTTGGTGAGCCTGCCCTTACACCCCTGTACATACTGCACCGGGAGACATCTGCTCTTAAATATATTTCTGTTCTGAAGTATGAAGCCAGCCACATCAATGGGAGTATGCTAAGGTTTCACTTATTAAATAATCTGTTTATCTTCTAAAGAGAACCTGCATGGAGAAACAGCAGAAAGGCTAGAAAGGAAAACTTCTGTGAAATATACTCGTTTTCACATTGGAAAGCTCTACTGTTTATTGAAACTGGCAGTAAATTTTAAACACTAAAAGCAAGTATTTCTTAAAAAATAAAAGCATCTCCCAACACAAACAGAACCTCCTATTTTACTTAAAGTAAATTAATTTTTAAATTGGCTATGTTTATTTAAATTCCCAGTTTCTGAAACAGCATATGAACCTGCTGTTGGAAGATTTTCACCTGACAGATTTTCACAGTACAGGAAAAGCTCAGGGACAAGGAGAACATAGGACATGAGAAAGAAAAGCTGGGGGTTTGAAGAGTGAGTCTGGCGGGTAGGTAGCAAAGAGGTGTTAGAGACCAAAAATCTACACAGTTCAAGTAAAAGTCAGACAGATTATTTTTAAAAATGTTGCTTCTTCCCAGTATTTGTCTAAAGAAGGGATTACAAATCTGTAAATATCTCTCTGGAACTTATAGCTAGCAAAAGGCATTAAACAGACCTTAAGAAAACAACAGGTAATGAATGGAGTTTTAAAACCTACAGAACAAAAATAGCTTTTTGGTGCCTCTGACTTTTTAAGTCCACTCTGAAAGCGCTCAAAGGAAAATGTGAACAAAGACTAATGACAGGGGCCCTTTCATATTAAAATAATATATGGAGCAACAGTGAGTGAGAGGAATGCAATGTTTGAAAAAGCACAGACTAAATAAAACACCCATGTACTCACTAGTCCTCTCTCTTCTAGGGTGGTGTCTCAATCCAGCTACAAAGGAACATCCTGGGGAGGGAACACTGTCATTTTCTCAGGTACAAATCTGTACTTCTGAGATGTTTACTGTCTCCATGTAAAACTGCTGAAGACCCCTTGACACTGACAAATAGGCTTCATTACGTCTGTGGCAAAGGTATTCGGTCTCATCTCTCAGGAATGATATAGGCGTTGATCAAGGACAAAGCACCAAACACTAAAAAATTCATTTGGCCTGGGGGCTATATTCAGCCTGGCTCTGTAAGAGCCTGATAGAGCAGCCCCTCTACTGCAGCAGCAGCAGCAGCAGCACTGAGAAGGGTGATTCATACCCAGTGCCAACTGGGGCTCATGGACAAAGAGCAGCAGTTGCAGCCCAGTATCTTTTTTGTCCCACAGAAGTGCTCTGGTTACAGACCTTGGCCTCCTCCACTCCTCCGAGGCAGGAGCAAAACCATGCCTGTGGATATATGGTGCTACACCCATGGATTAAATCCATTCCCACTTCATGCCACCTGGAAAGTCCCAGGCTTTTGCAGCTGTTGACCCCAGAAAGCCGCACTGTCACGTTCTTCCAGAAATTTTTAACCAACAACTGAAATAAGGTTGTACAGAAATACAGAATGCACATTACTACTATAGTAAATGAAAATCCTGTGGAGGTGAGAGACAGGGAACAAGTATCTTGTGTTTCAGACACTAAAATTATGTCCTGCATAACCTCACAGCAGGTCTTCTTTCTTTGTTGACTTCTTCAGGATGATTCACACCATGTTTTAAACTCCTTGGGCTTCTCCATGTGGTAAGGTGGTAGCCATGATGAACTAGAACTGGAACCACGAGCAACTTCAGATATTCAGATGTTCATACAGTGGAAAGAACCAGTATTATTCAGTCTGTAGGACTCAGCTGTCCTACTGGAAGTGTTAATGGCAACCTTATTAATGTCTAAAAGGACTGAAATAGCCACTACAGATCATAAAATAGCATTCTGACGTGTTTCCCTCTCCACCTTCAAAGTAAAAGCAGCAAAGTGAAGAAGGTGAGTCCCACCAGGGCTGCACAGGTGCAAACCCCTTGGAAACAGCAATTACACTCTCCCCATTCCTGAGGCCAACACCAGCACCTGTGCCAAGTGCAACATAGATGAACACAAACTGGGAATGCAACCCATGGCTGCTGGTTTTCTCATTTTTAAAGATTATTCCTTTGTGGAGTCACACATTAGTAATTTTCTTTAAGTTCTCTGAAGCAGAAGCTAACTCAATGCAAATCCAGTGAGCCAATTTCTCACAGTTTCTCCTTGCAGAAAGAGTTGATAAACCTGAGCTGTGAGATTGACTGTGAGCCCCCAAGGCTCTCCATCACACCTGATACCTACTGATAGCTTTATTTGATGATCTGGCAAAACAACAAGAAGCTGATACTAGAAAGAGAAATTTAATACCAGTGGTTGTGATTTATGCAATGTTCTATCTATCAGAGGTTTCCCTTGCAGTTTTCCCAGTCAGAGAGACAATACGTAATTCAAGTCCGCCCCCCAGTGGACTCCGTGCCCACTCCAGCACACCAAGTTTTGAGGACACTGGTGGCAAGTATTGAGGAGCTAGCTGACTGCCAGCATACTTAAAAAACCTAGGAGTTACTCCAAAACAATTAGACTCAACTGTTACCATCTATAATGTTCTGTTTCCGTTCTTCATTAGGATGAAAAGAAGTATACCGGAACCAACAAATCTGTTCATCCTGTCATAATACCACATGTTTTTCCTCCTGTGTCTAAACTACTGTGAATGTTTCAGTGGCTGTACACAGAAAATCATGTAGGTTGGAAAAGATCTTTAAGATCATCAAGTAAACGAAAAAAAAAGTTCTCAAACACGTACTGCTTACGTAAACAATTGTAAGCAAGATCAGCCTGCCTAAAAAAAATAAGGTACAGATTATGCAATGCTGAGTTTCTGTGATCTTTTCTCAGAAAGTTTCCTATTGAAACTTGCTCACTCTTGCGTGCATAGCTGTCATACTTCATTTATACTTATCCAAAACTGCACTAATTACCGTGGGTCATATGTGAATAATTAACTTCTTTTGCCTGAAGCAAAAGTAAAGGCCAAGATAAAAAACACGAGATTAGTACAGGGAGTATGCTCATGGCCAATGCTACATGTAAGTCTGATTATACCAACTTCTTATCAAGAACTCTGAAGGGTCCCGTAAAACATTTAATTTCAACTGCACAATACAGGTTTTCTCACTGGATTCACTGGCTAAATTCAGCATTGACCATTTTTCTAGACTACACTTCTTTCATCATACCTGCTGCAATGTCAATATAAAGCAGTTATCAGCTGACTACTTAATTAAGGTTTTTGATCGAAAGTTATTTTTCTTTTTCCCTGAAGTAATAAACCAACTTCCAGTATGACTACAAAAAAACAGTTCAGGCAGTTGTATTTTGATGTGGGAATTAATTTCAGCCAACTCACAGCCTGGCAGGTATCCGGGCTTCTTCTGTACTCAGCAGTGAAAGAGAAGCACCTTTGCAAGCCAATCCCTGGGTATACCTGAAGAGGGAACAACATGCCCCAGAGGTGCCAATCCCTCTACTCTGACTACCCAGAGATCCCAGACAGATAGCATAGCCTTGACACTCAGCTGCCAGGGAAACACGGCTAGGGATATGGATCCTACAATTACAGCAGGTAGATAAACTCGTTTTATGATGGTGGAGAGCTACATATAGGATTAAACTGGGATTTACCTACATCCTCTCAAGCCTTCAGTGCCTACTTCTAAGCACCCTAAGTGCACAGCCTGAGATTCAGCAGTGTTGACTATCTAACACTGATTTGGGTGCATTACCTGCAAGCACTGGTCTGCCCTATGAAATCACAGAAGAATTACAGACGTCTGACAAATGTACTTCTCAGTGTTTTAAAATGTGACAGAAGAAAAGAGCCTCTTCTGTTTCTGGGCTGACTTGGGTGTGACATTTCTGAGGCTGTCCACATCTAGTTTGGTAACTCACACGATGATTGCTTATACTCCTGGGCTGCTCGCCAGTCTGGCAGAGAAGAGTGACTTCCCTGTGGTGTAAGCAGATAAATGGTATTTTTGTTTCCAACCAAACACTCTAAGACTCTTCTCTGCTAGGCTCTCTTCCTTTAAATCTGTTACAGCCATGCAATGCTCAAAGGGCGATATGGGCAAGAAAAGAAACAATGCGGAAATCCAGGCAGGAAGAAGGAAAGGAACAGAGTAGGGTTAGACTGAGATAGAAGAGATAAAACAAGAAAAAGGTGACAGGGTAAAGGTATATAAGATATTAGAAGAGCAGGGATGAAAGACCACATTTAAGATGGAAAAGAAGAGGGAAAAAGAAAAAATAATTGAGACAAGACATGACAAGTAATGAGAGAGCAGAAGGCCCTTTTTAAAGGGAAGATGTGAGGAAACCAGGAAAATCGGCCTGGAAGCAAATGTAATGGAAATTGCCTGATCACCAGAACATTTCTGTTGCTTAATGAAGGAACTCAAACCTTATAGAAATTTTTTTAGTAGGGCATATTAGGATGGAGCCGTGTTCAGAACTCCTCTCAACAAAAGTCCTACCAACCAAAAGACATATTGGAAAGAGTGATGGAGATGTGGCCTCACCTGAAATGGACAAGTCTTCACTTAATTTTCTAAAATAGTATCTCATACTCTTTAGAGTACAACAGATCACAGAACGTGCCAGCAGATTCTCAGCAAAGAACAACATTGTCCTATGTGCTGGATAAATACCATCTTTCCTCCACAGAGTTGCAGGAATGCTGAAGTCCATTAAGAGCAGAGAGATCAATAAATTTAATTTAAGCAAATCAGCATCAGAGTAAGGAACAGCACTGAGGCTCAGAGCGTTCTGCCCACTGCCTTTCTAGCCATCCAATCAATGCCCTTTCAGACTTGCTCTTGATAACTTCAAATTGCTGCTCCTGAATTTATCCACAATAAAATTACAACTATTACACATCACTACTTCAGCTACCTTTCCATGCCAGTCATACAGACTAGTAACAGCCCATAAAGTTAATGAGGACGCCAGGTATTGATTCCATGTTAAGTATGGTCACCCCTGAATGGGGCCCAGCTCCTCCAGGCACCTCTCTCACATCTCTGCTGTAGGCATCTGACTGGTTCTCCAACAGTTCAGTGATGACTTCCCTCTCCAGTATGGGCTAGGTGCCTCTGAAAGCCTCCAGAAAGACTGAGGACTTGAGTTTACCCTTGAATTGAACTGAAGGATTTCAGGAGCTCCTGGCATCCAAAGGCTACATCCATAAAAGCAAGTGGTTTCAAAAGAAACATCTGTAGAGTAAAAAAATGCACTCACAGACATCTCTGCTATTGAAAGGCCTGTGAATAACAGTAGAGGTCTTTGGCTCTTAATGTAGGATGACAAGCTCATTATACCCTAAACTGGAGAGAAAGGCACCTGCTTTTCTTAACCATGGCACACAGTGCCAGCAAATCTTACCTGTGTGCGTTCTCCGGTGAGCCTTCAGGTGGGAGCTTTTCGTGTACACTTTGTTGCATCCCTCAAAGTCACACCGATGGATGCGCCGCTTCCTGGAGTCTGGAGACTCAGACCTCCTCTGACGCCTTGTGCTCTCAATACTGAACGGTGAAATTGAACTGAAAAACAGAACAGAAGCCAAAAAATGAAGCAAGAGAGTGGTGTGTATCCCAGTCACCAAAAAAATCAGCTATAACAGAACTGACTGTGCTAGAAGTGACATAAACAATGAATTAACTATTTCCCTTTCCACATTTTGACACAATTAGTGCTTGAACTAGAGCATATTTTGGAGTATGAAATAACTGAAGTCTTGATTTAGAAGTGCTTATTGCCCAAAAAACCCACTATGATCCTTGAAATACTGCTCCAATAATAAAGCAGCCTGACTTTATCTGAGCTCTGTTTCTATTCGATATGTGTCCAGGTACAAGCTCACTGAACTGTTTTCTAAACAAGTTTATATATAGCCTCCATAACTTCTCTTTGACAAGTTTAAATAGATAAAAAGCCTGAAACCTTTTATAAAAAAGTGTTTCCAGTACTCAGATCTGAACTATGGATCCTTGCATTAGGCCAAACACCTGTTGTTTGCTTGAATACAGACTGCTAACAGATCCAGATCACCCTGTAGCAGCGATTTTTCCATTTTCTCATTTAACAACTCTCAATCTATCACATGCAAGCCAATGAAATTTATTTTCTTTCAGACCACTGATAAATGAAGTTTATTTGAACAAGGCTAGAGAACAATCCCCACAGAAACACATAAATGCTTATCAAAGATACTCCATTTACAGCAGTGTCCTAAGGCCTATCAGTTACCCTAATTTTAAGCAATTAAAAATACAGCATTGAAGTAATCTTGCATGAGTTTCTAAGTACAGTGTGTGCTGGACCTAATACTTGAAGAAAGCCTTGCTACAGCAATACATTTGGCTTGGTTAGATAAATTATCATGTCAGAAGGCCAAGACTCAAACCCTCATTGACTGCCAGTAATTATACTACCCAGCCATAAATCATTATTAACTGTTCATCCTATCAACCTCACTATGATTACATTGCACAGCAATCATGGCCACCCACAGCTACACCAGCCTGTTCAGTTAAGTACTAGAACAACTCTGCCTTTCATCAGATTTCTGGGGCTTCCCAGGTTTATTGACCTTTAAGGGAAATGGGCTACAGATTCATTAGCCTGCTCTGTTAGATTCTTAAGATCAATCTGAACGAAAAACATGAACTTTTGGGGAAGCTACAGTACTAAGGCAGGCATTTGAAAGGAGCACTGACATCGATGCATCTGCTGGGAAGCACCTCTATTAAAACAGACCTGCAAGCTCCTGTTAGAGGAGTTCCTGTACAGCTGTAACTGCTATGGCATACATTGAACTTGTACAGTTTTGCAGAACTTGCTGAAGACTATTTATACGGGGTTAGAAGTCTGCATAAAGCATCTCATACCATTAGCATGTGATTTCACTGATGTTCTAATTCTCTGCATACAAATCTCTAAATCTTGAATTAGTGGTAGTCCAAATTACGCATTTTTATTTTTAAGAACTTTCACAGTACAACCCTAATTTGAAGCACTAATGGGGAAAAAAGTACTTTCTTTCTGAACAGTAATTTTTAAATACATATTCGTATTTCACTTGCAGCAAGAGATTCTCCAGATTAATTATTTTTGCCTATAATATGATGCATGTAAACAGATGCACAGAGAGCTCCTAAAATGAAGGAAGAAGTGGACAGAGAGCTGTAGTAACAACATTAGCTGGCAAAAAGTTGTCCCCAAGAGAGTAAGAAACATTAGCACTTTAACTATATGACTGGAATATAAATATGTCTAGCTCTCACAGAAATGGCTTAGGAATTGCATTTAAGCATCTGAATCTCAGAACAAATAGAAGTCTTGGGTTAGATGATTCACTGAGAATGGTTTCACTACTCCAGATGCGGGTTTTTTTAAACATCCCACCAGCTGAAATAAAAGCAAATGTGTAAATAAAATGTTAAAGCTCAATACTGAACATACAAAATCTAGTGCCAAAACCAGGAAACACTGAAAAAAAAAAAAAAATATCTATCTGTGCATCCTTTTTGCTGCAAGTAACTTATGAGTAACTTATGAGCTGTCTTAGAACCCTATTTTGTAAGAGTGTTCAGATCTGTTCAGATAGTACACCTCATTTAAATACGAGGAGGATCAAGTTTAAAATGCTGGTGCAATTTCCAGCCCCGAGACAAAATGAACCTTGAGAAGAGTCAGCACCTCATAAAAAGCTATTTGTCACACACGAGAATGTGATCTCACTGCTGGGAACTGCTCTGTGCTTTCCCAGATATTTATACAGAAGAGGATGGCACAGAGCACTGCCATGAAGGTGGCACACGATCAATGCTGCAGCTTTTTAATTGGATTGCTCCCTCTTTCTACAAAGTGTAGGATCCTACTTTATCCCACAGGAGGGAAAATAACTGAGTAAGCCACAGAAGGTGACAAATATTGTCACCATCCCCTGAGAGCTTCACAGTCATCGCTTGCTCAGCACACCAAGGAGAAAATCTACTGTCAGCTAGACCCAGCAAATGTCACTTCATGCCTTCCCTTTGCAGTCATGCAGCATAAATGACAAACTAACCAGCAGAGGAGACCACATGGCAAGTGAGAGCATATGTCCAAGGTGGTTTTCCTCTGCCACTTCAACTCCTGTGGCACAGGAGGACCCCCCGTGCAGAGATGTTCACTGGTGGAAAAGCAGCCAGAATCCACCTGACACTACCAACTTAATTTTAGCCTTACAAAAGTTGTGTGACTTTAAATGGAGACATCACCAAAGACCCTAAAAATACTACAAAATGCTTTTTTGAGCTTCCTCAGGAGGTTAGTCCCTCTCACAGTAAGGTCCAGATGATTTGCTGATGTTCTTTCCCTTTGCCATGCAAACAGGAAAGGGACATCTTTCTCAAGCAATTTCTATAAAATACCCTCACTGTCCAGACAGACAGAAGTCCTCAAAACCACATTTTGTACCTTTTGAAGGCCACAGGGGCTGTGCCAGGTGTCTCTGATCAGCACAGGGTTCCCAAAACTACTGTTTGATGGCACCATGGTAGACAACAACGTTGAAGTGGATGGGTCAGGGAATTCACAGACATTTATTTTTTCAACTAACTAAATTTTCCTTTTTATTTAAAATACATTTTAAAATTCTATAAAATAAATAAAGAAAAAACACCACAAAAAAAAAACAAAAGGCAACCCCCCCCCCAACCAAAATCCAAACAAACATTATTGTAGCAGTCTCTTTCAAGTTTAAGTTCCCCCTTCAGCGACTGCACCGAGGGAAGACCCGGAAACCTGTCTCCAGCCAAGAGCTATCAGGGTACCCTGAGAAAGAGCTGCCAATTCTTCTGTTAATGGCCATGATCTCAGGCAGCCTTTAAGGCTCAAGGTGGGCTTTTGCAGTAGGACTTTTGTCATACTTAACAGCTCAGCAGGATGTATTAAATTACTGCTGAAACGTGAACTTAGAAAGATAAATTAACAAAGAAGAAAAGTGGGTTCTGACCTGTCAGCTTGATGTTTATTTATTTGCAGCTTGTTATTTCAAAAACCACTGTAATTTCTACATTAGTGTAGAAATTTTTACACCTAATGGGAATTCTGGGAGACTGCTGGCTGCATCCATGAGCAGCTGCAACACTTGTAGTCAGTACGGTTGGTAGGGTGAAATGAATAAAACTAATGCAATCGTTTAGGGTGGTTTATAAAAATTCACCTGTGTTATTTCCAGTTAGAAGTGAAAACTTGCATCTTTACAACTCACACACAGCCAAGTTCTTGCCTCCGTGATACAAAGTCTGCAAAACCTAACACCCGCTGGGTATTCACCACTAGATGGCCATCAAGTTCTGCTGAACGTGATCTGCACTGCATGAGATGTGGATTATAACAACCCTGGTTGCAGGATTATTTTTCCTTTCTATGAATGCCGCCCATGACCTCCTAGGTGTCTTGCCTCTGTTCTGTGCTGACTGTGAATAGCCCTTGGCACAAGCAGTAGCACTGTTAAAAACCACATGTAATGGGTGTCTTTACATTGATCCTGTGTCTTCCGAGCAATATGCTGAGCAGAGCTGCCTGGGGAACACAGTTTATTAAAGCCCTGAACTGTGCTCCGTCTCACGACACACCACAAGTCCCTGCACGCTGGCTGCTCCCCACTCACAGTGTGCTCACCCTGTGGCAAACACACAGGGTTACCTTCGGCCACCCAAGCACGAGCTCCTGGTGCTGCTGGCACCCCTGTGAGCTGGCCAAGGGCTCGCTGACATGGCCAACAAGGAACCACGGACGTGCCGTGAGCCACGTTTTGCTCTTTGCTCTACAAACCCAAACAGTGTCCCAGTGTTGCTTCATCCTTGTGACTGGCAGTTTTACTCTTCCCTGGTTTCTCCGCTAAGAGCTCAGACTCTTTGGCTACACATCCTGCCTGCCTCCAAAGACCTCATGGAAAACATGTTGATCCAGGGCTAACAGGTCACATCAGTTTGTGCCAACATCCCTGTCACCTTACCTAAGTCTCTCCTCTACAGCAATCAGGCTGCCTTACCTTCCTCTCTAGCAGGCCCTGTAGTTAACTGAGAGACTTGAGGCTGCACTCTAATAATAGTCCATGGCTGCTCAAAGCAGATGCTCTCTTCCCCCTGGGGTGAGACTCGGGCTGTATCAGCCATGTCCCTCCACTCTGGCTACTATGGGAAGGAAAGGCAGATGGGGCTCAGGCCCGTGAAGCATCTGCTCAGCCTGGATGAGGGGCTCAGTGGGCCAGACTGGACGAGTTGTGGTCCTCTTGTGCTTCTGACAGCCCCTGGGTGCTGGAGCACAGGATTTGGCTGAGATGGCACATCAGGGCAGTCCCACTCCACAACTGTTTTCTGTTGTGTTGGCACCAGCACTTGCCTGATTCTGCAGCAAGCCAGTGCAGGACCCACAATGATGAAAATAAAATTCTGCCGGAAAAAATCTGAGCTTTTGGTAGCTTGACTCCCAGTAGGAGAGTCTGCCAAGTACCTGACATATGGCAGAGGACAGGAACCTGTGGCCATGG